GAATCCTACCCAGAGAAGCAGTGATGCCAGAGATGGAGGCAGAGACGATGACATGGAGAGATGGAAAGGCTGGGGATAGAAAAGAGAGGGAGAGGGGCTGTGTGCTGACGACAGGAGAGGGGAGTGTCTTGCAGGGTATACCCTGTGGTTGGTTGATGATGCATGGAGGGGACTGTAACCATGGCAATGAAACGATATACAATAGGATGGATGCAAAACTAATGTTCTCCCATGTAAACTATCACAGAATTCACAATACACCATTAAAAAAAAAAAAAAAAATTGAAAGTGATTGTTTCTGGAAGGGCCATTCAGAGGTGAAAAAGGGTAAGAGAGAAGGTGCACATTACTGTATTTGACAAATAGTACTTTGTAAAAAAAATCACATAAAATTTCAGTTAGATTCTCAAATTATGACAACATACCGTTCAATAGCACGTAGCTTAACTTGATTCATATCCTTTAGAACCTCCAACATATTTGGAACGTCTTTCTTTCTCTGGTTCTTTGCATGACGGCCATCGCTGGTCTTACGCACACCCAGGTGCTGTTTCTTCATTTCAGTTACTGAACTGACTGAGTCACCAATGTTAGGTGCTGGCAGGACAGCAGGGGGACATGGAGCCCGGAGAGAAGGCTGAGAAGGAAGTGGTGGCGGAGGAGGAGCACAGGGAAGCACAACACTGGAGAACGGACTAGCTTCGCCCCTCAGTTGAGTAGTCTCTGATGACGACTTGAGGCCCAAACGACTCGGTCCATCATTCAAGTCAAAGCAGTCTGAAAACAAAGTTGTTGTTGTAGTTAGGTGCCATCGAGTCGGTACCAACTCATAACTGGGTGAAAATCAAATGATGCAAATGCGCTCCAACATAATAAGTATGTGGGACTAATTAGAACTTAAAGCAGGAATAGCTTCTGTAGCACTAATGAAATCATGATTCAGTGGCCAGCAAGGAGAAGCAAATTCCCATCTGGTTAGTAATTTCTCTAAGAGTCAAGCCAAATAATAAGTTCATTTTTAATCCAATTTTGAAATGGAAAGAACTTTATCAGCAACACAGACAATCTGAATCTCATCCTCCACTTAAAAAAATCAAGAACATGAGCAACAACTTGTAGTTAGAAACATTCCAGCTAGGGGATCCACTCACTGAGACCTTAGAAACACTTCAGCATGTATTTTCTAGGCAAGAGCTGCGGACTGAACTTTGTCACAACAGATCTGGTCCTAAAGGACTGTATATAAATAAGATTGCTAAGAGAAATTTACGTGTGTGTTTAACTATATGTGTATATATGAGGGAGCTTCAAAAAGTTATTGGGAAAATGGAATTGAAACAAAATGGAATTTTTCTCCAAGCTTTTTGAAATCCGCTTGTATGTTGTTGTTTTGTGCCACTGAGTCCATTCCAATTCATGACACCCCCAAATCAAAACCGTTGCATCAAGTTGATGCTGACTCAACTGCCCCACAGGGTTTCCCAGGCCACCATCCTCACAGGAACAGACAGCCAGGCTCTTCTCCTATGGAGTCACTGGTAGGTTCAAACCGAAGACCTTCCGATTAAGACTACTGACAGCCAAGGGCTTAACCTGCTTAAACACTGTACCTTAGCCAAGGATCCTTGTATGTGTGTGTGCACTCGTTTTTATTAACATATCTAGTAATACGTTACCTATCTGGTGCCATCCAGTCAATCCTGACTCATGGCAACCCCATGGGTGTCAGCTTAGAACTGTTAACACAAACCTCTAATTTTTCAGTTGGCACTCAAGCTCACTGACCGCTTCTATCACTCAGGAACTCATTAATTACATATAATTTACCTACAGATGAATGATATATTGTAACTCTATAAGCATTATAAAATAGTCTCTAAGTTTTATGTATGTTGTTGTTAAGTGCCGTCATGTCAGTTCTGACTCGTAGCGACCCTGTATAGGGTTTCCGAGGAGCAGCTGGTGGGTTTGAATCGCTGACCTTATGGTTCACAGTCCAGTGCTGATCCTACAGCGCCACAGTAGGAGTGTATATGTAACCCAACCTACTGCCACCAAGTCAATGTGGATTCATAAAACCAAAACACTAAACCCAGTATGATTCTGCCTCACAGCAACCTTATATAGGCTTTCAGAGACTGTACATTTTTATAGGAACAGAAAGCCTCATCTTATTTATATTTATACATCATTCTTCAAGAGCAAATATGTTTTTGAAGGTACTCAATACCCATCTCACTTTAAAATGTGCATCTCTATACAAGCACACACATACATACACACACATCCATGTGTGTACAGGGGAGGGGGCTTCAAAAAGTTCATGGAAAAATGGAGTTAAAGAATAATGGAATGTTTCCATTAATTTTTCCAAGCCCCCTAGTGTGTGTGTACACAAGTATATATATGTAATGTATACAACAAATTACATCTCTCAACATTTACAAAAGACTTATCGGGAAAACACTCATATGAATCTGACAGAAGTATAGTAATGATAGCTTCAAACTACAAATATATGAGACCCTAAGCCTATACGTCTCTTTCAAATTAAAACGTTTTTTCTCTTTAAAATGATTTCAGAGAAGTCAGAAAATCTTATTGTTGTTGTTAAGTGCAGCCAAGACAGTTCTGACTCATAGCACCTGTCCGAGAAGCAACGGGTAGGTTTGAACCACTGACCTTACAGCTGATCCAGTACATTCTCCTGCAGTACCACACCAGCTTAGAAGAGACTTTATAATACAAAAATACAGTCTTCAGTAGTATAGCTAGCTCGTCTTTCTACCAGTCACTGCCCTTAATATCAATTTCTTGATTTATTCTGAATAAAAATCAGATACAATAATTTTATATACATAACAATCTTTTATGGTAATAGTTATTGTAATTTACAAGACACATTATCACCAAATGCTTTCAATACTAGATGAGTATCATCTAACTGAAACAAAGCCCGGTATGCAACTTACCAGAATTTGCACCATTTCTCAGTTCCTGCATTTCTACAATTGCAGCAATCTGGGAGCGAAGAAATGTTAGCTCATCTTCAAGAGCTGCTATTTTTTTAATTGCAGCGTCATTTACAGGTAGACCCTTTTTGAACTGCTTGTTACATCTTAGATTAGGTGACAATGGGTCTTGAGCTAATTGCAAAGGATTGAAAAATTCCATTTCCTCCTCCTCTTCACGTTTCCCTGTATAATTTCTGAAGGTAGAAGTAAGAAAGAAAGAAATAGGGAAGAAGGGGTGGATGTAGGGAGGGAAGGAAAGAGGGAAAATTGCAGTCAATAGAGGAATACATGAATTCACGGAAAACAATGGATACCAAAATACAATCGACTAGTTCCCATCCCTGGTTACTATCTCTAGACTCTACAAGGGGGAGCCCAGCATCTTACTCCACTTCATATTCTCAATAGCTAGAACAGAATGCTCTCCTTAATAGATGGCAAACAGAAGTGCAAAGAAAATTGAAGACAAATAGAAACAATTAGTCCAAATGGACTAAAAGACAAGGCAACCATCAGCATCTAAAACCCTGAGACCAAAAGAACAAGACAGTATCTGGCTACAACTACCAACTGCTTCAAAAGGGGTCACAATAGAATGTCCTAGAGTGGAAGAAAATGTGGAACACAACTCAAAATTATACAATAACTGGGTTTACAAATTGGAAAGAGACTAGTGGGAGCCAAACCCCCAGATTAAGACCCTTAGCCAACCTTCAGGTCTGGGAATGAACTCACCCCAGTGGCTCAATTTTCAGGTGAACAATAAGTTTTTTATGGGAATAACAACACTGGGGGTGTATATACTCCTTAAAGCAATCAACCATTTGAGATCAAAGAGGCAGCATTTCCTCAGAACAAAGTTCAGAAGGATTAGGCAAGAATCAGGAAACAGGAAAGAAGTGTAATACGTGATGATGCATTGTGGGAACTGCAATCAACGACACGAAACAGAACATGTGTGAATTCCTACATATATATAATAGGAATAAGCAGAAATATTGCTGTTTGCTGTTAAGTGCTGTCGAGTCCGTTCACACTCACATGGTAAGATTAAATGGGGTATAAACGAATGAACAAACCTTGCGTTTATATTGTAAAACAAAATAATTATCCTGTAAAACAAAACAGTTATCCTGTAACTCTACTAGCTTTAAAAACAGTGCTAGAAATTCTGTGTAAGCGACTGAACATTAACTTGAAATTCTAACATCCAGAACTGCATTAGAGATTAACTCAGAATAGTCTACTTTGTTTGAAAACTGATAAACCAAATTTACTACATAAATTTAGCCAGAATATTTGAATAACTGGCACACTTCATTTTCTGGCCATCTGAGACAGTATCACTTACTGTGCTTGCAACCTGTATCTGAATAAATTAACAGGTAAGTTAGTGCTCCTTAGGAGTAACATATCCACCTTTTGAAATATGACTATCATTGAATGATATGCAACAAACACTAGATATGCTTTGGTTAAAGACATTAAATAAATCTGGTATCTACTAGAGGAAACCACTTGCTCCTAAAAATGAGCACAATACTTCTGACATCCCCCCTTCCGTTTTTCATCTTCTGAGGGTCCCTTTGATATATCTTCCAAGGCCTGGTGCTCCCTCCTTAGTGTAAGTGTGGATTCACAAGAACGGGCTGAGTGTTTTTTGGTGTACATAAAAAAAAAAACAGGGAATAGAAGCAAATATTGTTGAATGATGATGCACAGAGGGGATTTCATTGCAATGAAACAAAATACAATAGGATGAGTGTAAAACTGATGCTCTCCCATGAAAACTATCACTGAATTCACAATAAAAACTTAAAAATAAATAAAAAGCTCAATCAGTATGAACACACTCAAAATATGCAAGAAGTCAGATGACACCCTATACCCCACTTCCCAATTAAGCCCACAAAATTACCGAAATCTGAGATAACTGGGTTCTTCTTCACTTGCCACGCAAAAAATATCAGCAAAAGATGGGACTGTAGACCCACAGTTAGCTGCGTCTGCAGAGTTCAAGGGCAGGATCAACTAAAGTGATAAAGAACAAAAGTCACACCACTGCAGGGAGGTGCTCTATGGAAGCTAAGTCAGTTAAAAATTCAAGAGTGCAGAGGAAAATGAATATTCAATAGGAAAGCAGGCATGCACCCATCTGCTATCAACCACAATACAAGCTGCTCAGGTGCTGCATGGAAGCTGGCCATCTCTGAAGAAACCATACAACTGCATATGAGGCGGCTCGCCTCCCATAGACAACTAGGCTTCTGGAGTGCAGGAAGCCTTTCTCCATGCTGTGGTACCGTACATCCCTAAGGGCATCTCAGATGAGTTTATGCACAGTGCTTAACCAACACATACTGACAGACTTACCTGAAAATTAGGTCTTGGACAAGGTTCTAGAGGAAGAATTTTCCCAATAATGCGAACAATACTCCGAGCTGATCCATATTCTTTATTTTCCCAAATTGACAAAATCTATTTAAATGCAAAACATCGTTTAAAATGTATTCTAAGTATATTTGTACATCTATGAAAAAAGCAGATGTAGATGGGCAATAACATCTATTTTTTTAAAAGAAAATTCACACAAGTATTCTTAAAGTACTTCGAAGAAGAGAGAAAAAATAAATCAGTTCCTAGACTTGCTATTTATTTACCGTGGACTACATCTGCTTGGAGTCATTTCTTTAAAAAAAAATACCAGAAACAAAATGTGTCACATCTGTTAACCTGAGCTTCTCATATTGATACAAACTATTCCCACAGGAAACGCCGCCACCACCACCACACACACACACACACACACACACACACACACACACACACACACACACACAAGATATAACATTTCTTTTGACAGAGGTTTTAACACAGACAATATCTCTCTTTTAAAAATAATTAAAAATTAGACTTTTTTTCTTTTTCCTCTGATTACAAAACAAGAGACACAGGTAGCAAACAAATTCTTGTTTTTTACTCTTGGCATCCTGATGGACCCATCTAGGAAGCAGATGGATCTACAGTTCTGGAACTCAAGAAGACGAGCAGGAATTAGAATGTGTGAGCTAGAACTCATCACCATACAGAATACATGAGATATGTAAACAGTGACGTCATGGAGCAGCTGAGAACAGCAGGATAGAAAGACTGGGAGTGCTCAACACACAGACTCAGACTCCTCCTACTTAATGTCAGGCCGTCTTCTCTGCCTCTCAATGGTAATGGCTCTGAATTTATCTGATCAAGTCCAAGCTTTAGACTAAAACTGAGTATCAATTCCATCAATCAGCTTCATAATCTTCCATCACTTGTCAACCCAATCTCCATAATACACAGGGAACTTCAAAATGTTCATGGAGAGAATCCATTATCTTTTAACTCCATTTTTCTATGACCTTTTTGAAGCTCCCTAGTACTCAATGCAGTCCACATTTTACTCTCAAATCACCCTGTGAGATCACCTGTAATGTGGCCCCTGTTGTCTCCATACAGCTTGAGTTCCCACCATTCATTTACAAGAACACTTGAGTTCCCACCTTTCATTTACAAGAACACAAGTTCTTGTGGAGCAAGCAATAGTCCCCATTGTCTCAAGCACACATCAGTCTGATCCCAGGAGCTGTGAATTTCCCCATACGCTTTGAGGGCTTGATCTAATTCTAGCCAGGTGCTGATCCAGTTTTCATATCTTCTAATGTCCAATTCATTCTCCCCTTAAATTTATTTCCACTCTCATAAGCTTCGCAGGGTCGGAATCCCTAAACTACTTCCAGTGAGCATCTTACCTACCGTGGCACATAATTACATGCATGGTGCTTTGGCTCATGTAAGGAGCCCTGGTAGCACTAAAGGATATGCACAGTACACGTTGGCAGTTCAAACCCACCAGCCTCAGAAATACTTTACAGGGTCACTATGAGTCGGAATCAACTTGATGGTTTTCGCTCATTTTCAATGGATTCTTCTCCCACTGAGCTTCCTTAGTGGAGCAAAGTTTGCACTTCACAACTAACTAACTCACCTAAAGGTGGGCAATTCAAACCCACCCAGTGCAACCACAGAAGAAATGCCTGGTGTGGTGCCTTGAATTTACTTGATACTGGCTTTTCTATCCAATGTCTTAATTCCCAACATGTGATTGGGTGGGACTATGCAAATAAGATATACAGGACTCTAAGGCTGGGATTGGGTAGTTTTGCCCTCCAGCTAGGCTTAGAAGGCGCCATCTCAGAAGCAGGTATGGAAGATCCCAGGGCCATCAACAGAGAAGAGCATGAGTGGAGCGGCAGAGGTGGCCGCATGCAGTGACAGAGCAGCTGTGGACTTCAGGGCCCATGGACTGAGGCAGAGGCCAAGGGACTACATGGCTGAGAGGTGGAAGACAAGTTGAGGAGACCTGCAACATGGCAGACCAGAGGTGTTCCTGACTGGACACCTGCTGTGTCCTGAGTTGTTTCTGATACTGAATTGTACCCTGTTCACTTCCTTAATAAATCTCATAATCCTAAGTACTGTTACTTCTGTGTGACCACTGTTGACTGCAATGGATCGCCAAACTCAGATGTGAAGCAAAGAGTGCTGTGGGAGGGATGGTTGGTGTCTGAATAGCTGTGGACCACAAGGTCAGCGGTTCAAACCCACCAGCTGTACTGAGTGGAAAAATTGAATTGGAATTACTTTTTCAGTTCCTGGAGGCCCATACAGGGTCACTATGAGTCGGAATCAACTTGACAACACTTAACAATAGGGTTTCTGAGGTTGTAAATCTACAGGAGCAGAAAGCCTCATCTTTTTCCTAAAGAGCAGCTGGTGGGTTTGAACTGTCAACCTGTGGTTACCAGTCCAGGGGTCCTTGTGGTAATGCTGTATTACAATTACAACCATGATCATTGTAATTCCCACCAAACGATTGGGTGAGACCATACAAATAGGGTATATGGCATTCTAACATGGAGACTGGTTCGTTTTGCCATCCCACTAGGTTTAAAAGGAAGCAGCTCAGAAGTTATTGCTGTTGTTCCAACTCATAACAACCTTGTATAATGTTTCTAAGGAAGAGCTGGTGGGTTTGAACTGGTGACCTCTTGGTTTGCAGTCCGGTGCCGATCTAGGAACACCCAATCCCAGTACTAGCAAGAAGAGCCACGAGCGGCGCCCGAGGTCCCTGTTCAGAGACAGCAGCACAGAGAGACAGAGCAGCAGGCTTCTCAGTCTTCCGGTAGGACGCTGGCTTGCAGAATTGGTCCCTTGGGCATTTATCCACAGCATTATAAGAGCTTATACATTTGCCCGAAAAGCACAGAGGGCAAGGGGCCATGTGGCTGAGGGGTCCATGACAAGAGAGGTATGTGTTGTAAGCACCGCTCAGAAGAGGAGCTCACCACCAGACCAGAGAATTGCTGTATCCTGAGTGGTTTGTGCTCCTGAATTGACCCGTTAACCTCCCCAATAAGCCCCATAATCCTGAGTACTGTCTGAGTTCTGGATGGCCACTGCAGCACATTATGGAACCCCGGAGACAAGTGGAGTGCCGTGGGAGGGATGGTTGGTGTCAGAGGGTGGGAGCATGACTGACCACCTCATGGGAATCAGCCTTGGGAAGGTGGTTCTCCTTCCCCTTTGTGAAACTGGAGGAGGTCAGACATCAGCTAGCTGCAGACCATTTTTGCAACATTATGTCCAAAATGAACACCCAGAGAAGCAGCAGACAAGAAACAAGGACATGTTGCATTAGGCAAACCTGCTGAACAAGACCTTTTAAAAGTGTTCAAGAGCAAAGATATCAGTTTGAGGACTAAGGTGCACCTGATCAAAACAATGGTATTTTCAATTGTGCATAGGGTCACTATGAGTCAGAACAACCTTGACAGCACCTGACAACAATCTTCTTTCCCTTGCCAACACTAAGGCGTTGTTAAGTCAGTTTCTCTTTGCTGTCTTAAATTTCTTCCTGTCTATGAACCTCTTCCCCAGTGCTTACTAATATGCTCAGGTTACCCTGAATGGTAGTGGTAGTGTGTCATGGAGTCATATTTGACTCATAATGACCCTGTATAGTGTTACCAAGGCTGTAAATCTTTATGGAAGTAGAAAGCCTCATCTTTTTCCCATGGAGCAGATTTGAACTCCTGATCTTGTGGTTAGCAGGCTAATTTGCAATCCACTACACTTTCTGCTCCCATAAAGATTTACAGTCTCAGAAACCCTGTACAGGATCGCTATGAGTCGGAACCGCCTCCACGGCACATAACCACCGGCCACCATCACCACCACCACCACTCTCTCAGGGCTCCTTCAAGTTACCCTTAGCACTGAAAAATAAGTAAGTCCTGCTGCCACTTCAAGTTAATGGCGTCTCTTAATCTCTTCACCAGCAAACTTCCAAAGACTGCTGCTGCCACTTCCTTTCCTCAAAGTCACTCTTCAAACTACTACACTATGATCCCCACCTTCACGGAGAGAGGTTCTAACAGGTACCGAACCAATAGCCTGTGGTTGTTGTCCGTTGCCGTGGAGTCCATTCTGACTCATGGAGACCTTGTTAAGTTTTTAATGTTATGACCTTTCAAGAGCAGATCACGAGGCCTGTCTTCTGAGAAGCTTCTGGGTGGATTTGAACTGCCAACCTTCCAACTAACAGTCAAGAGCTTAACCATTTGTTTCAAGGGCCTCCCTAATGAAAAGCAAATGATTAGCTGTTGTTCAATCTTCATCATCTCTTGTCTCACTACTTCTGAAATTCACAATGTTTCAATGACATTCAAGGTTCCACCTTCCATTATGTCATCAATTTCCATGGCTTCAACTGTCAAAACAAAGCAGATATCACCCAAATCTAAATCTCTTTGATTTCCTACGTTCTAGAACCATTTATCCAACTGTCTGGAGACTACTTATATATTACAACAGCACCTCTGGCTCACCTCATATTCCTATTCACACTGGTATGCTTATTTTGAACAACATCAGCGTCATTCTTCAAATTACTTTTGTTAAAAATCTTTTTATCCTGGACTAATGTGCCAATTCCGTTAAGCTCCAATACTATTTATTTGTATCTTTCTTATATTCTAGTACACGGTCGCTATGAGTTGGAACTGACTCCACGGCACATAACCACCACATTATAATTATCTTTATATTTCTTATTTCTCATATTACATTTTAAGCAGCATGAGTACAAGAACTTCTCTCTGTCACCTGCAGGACCAAACATATACTCTCGAATGCACTAGATGCTCCACAAATAGACACATTGGATTTGCTTATAATTCTGCCCTTTATCATTCTCTCCCCTTCAGATTCATTCTAACTTCATTGAACTTTAAATTTGCCACTCTACATCCAAATATCAAACATGTCTATGTTATTGTTAAGTATAGTCAAGTCAGTTTCAACTCAGTCACCCTGCATAGGGTTTCTGAGAGCAGCTGGAAATTTTGAACCATCAACCTTGCAGATAACAGCCCAGTGCCACACCAGGGCTCAAATAAACCACTAGATAATTATAAAGGTGTTTTATCTACACAATCAATAAAATTCTGTAAAGGTGATGTCTGTATTTTGCTTCTTCTATTGGCAGATGATCTATCCGTATAAGGTAAATAGGTTATTAATCTTCTTATCTCTTCTTTAATACAAACTATCGCAAACTTGCCTTTGTTGCACCTAAAGAGAAGTAACCATTATAAAAAGATAATGTTTACAAATCAACATTATTAAAATGAGACCCAAGAACAAATACAGGTTCATTTAAATCCATTAAAAGACATTCACCTGGTCAATGGGAACACCAATGTATTCCAGCATCTCTCTCAAGATTTTCAGTACAAGAGACATGAATGAAGCAAATACGGATGCAAATTCAAACAAACATTATCAGTTTCTTGAGACCTTCGGGAAAAAGTTTAGAAACTATTAGTCTTTAAGATAGTAAACATCCACAGAAATTGTACTAAATAACCTGAAAAGGCCTATCATCACATTGTTGTTGTTGTTAAGTGCCACCGAGTGGATTCCGACCCTTAGCGACCCTGTAAAGGGTTTCCAAGGAGCAGCTGGTGAGCTTGAACCAAGTACATTGCAGTCCAAAAGGCTTTGCAGTCTGATGCATTAACCCACAGCCCACACCAGGACTCCTATCATTTCATTATTGTTGTTGTGTTGTTGTTGTGTCCCGTGGAGTCGGTTCCGACTCATAGTGACCCAGGGTTTCCGAGGCTGTAAATCTTTACGAGAGCAGAGAGCCTCATCTTTCTCCCGCGCAACAGCTGGTAGTTTCGAACTGGTGACCTTGAGATGGTTGTTGTTGTTAAGTGCCGTCGAGTCGATTCCGACCCACAGCAACCCTGTATAGGGTTTCCAAGGAGCAGCTGGTGAGCTTGAACCGCCTACCTTGCAGTTCAAACGCTCTGCAGTCTGGCGCATTAACCCACAGCGCCACACCAGGCCTCCGACAGTGAGATTAGCTGCCCGATATTTCACCATATTTCTTGGGCACTACGACTTTGCAGGAGTCAAGGGGTTGGAAGAGGAAACTTCAATTTATCGGTTAAAATAAAAAATCTAAAAGCGAGAGGGACGGGGCCTCTGATTAACAACTACTCTAGTAGTATAGTGGTTACGAGACGGGCTGCTAATCTCAAGGCCAGCAGTTCGAAATTACCAGCAGTTCCGCGGGAGAAAAATGAGGCTTTCTGCTACCGATAAGATTTACAGCCTTGGAAACCCTATGTAGGGTCTCTATGAGTCGAACCGACTCCATGGCACACCACCGCCGCCATCAACAATAGAGACACTGGGAAGGCTTCAAGATTCTGAGCTGAGACTCTTAAGAGGCTGGGGACCAACTCAAAATGAAAAATGCTTCTTCATCACAAAAGTATCCGAATGCCCCCCACCTCTCTGATCATTTTAAAGATAAGGGGCTGACTTCGTCAAGCAACCAGTAAGGGATAAGCCAGGGCCAAGTCGTGTCACTCGCTCTAGCCGAAAGTTTTCCGGGGGCGCTCCACACCCGGCATGGTCACCGCGCTCACCTGACTGCAAAACCGAGCCCCCCGGGCACCACCGAGACGTTACCGGACCGTCACGTAATCAACCACTCAGGGCCCGCCTACTTGCCGCCCCAGTGTTCTCGGGCCACAGGATCTCCAGAATCCGCCCCGCAGCCTCTCACTCAACTGGGATAACACGGTGGGAAGAGCAGCCACCCTCCTGCCGAGTCAACTAGCCGCCCTAGCCTCCCAAAACTGTGCACTACTTCCTCAAACCCGGAACTCAGAAGTTGACCAGGGGAAAATCAAACTCCGCGGGTCTAGAGCTCTGCCCGGCACCCGCTCTCATTGGACAAAGCTGAAGGTGGCTCATAGTGATTGGCCACTGGGTGACGTCAGGTTCGCTGCGATGGTTTGCCAACGGAGGAAACTGCAGGGTTCTCAACCTCTCTCGAGGGGGTGGGTCTTTTAAGAAAAGGAAATGGAAGCCAATAGGCAGCTGATGGGCAGGTCAGGCTGTGCGGACGGTGACGCACGCGCAGGACGCTGGTCGAGGATTTACGGTGCTCTTCACCGCAAGGTTGTCACCCGCCCACTTTTCTATCCTGACTGTAAACGGGGCAGCTTTCCTGCTGCGCAAGGTAGTGTTAAATGTCGTCGAGTGAGTTTCGACTCGTAGTAACTCTGTATATGGTTTCCGAAGAGCGGCTGGAGGTTTTGAACCACCGATCTTGAGGTTAGCAGTCCAGCGCTTTTCTTTACAGCGTCTCACCAGAACTCACTGTGGGGAGAGGGGGGGAGCTGGGGAGGGAGAGAAACGATGTTAATTTTTTGGTCACTCATTAGTTATATTCAGTGACCATCTGTTAAATGCCTATGGGACCAACTGAGAGGAAAGTCTTACCATCAAGTATCAATGTTATCACCTCTGTATACAGGGTAGATAGGGATGGGCTACTTAGACATTGGCTTCCTAAAATTAGGGGGAGATGAAGGCACAAAGTGACTAGCTTGCAAAGTTTCAAGAGGGAGTTTGAGAATGTGCAGGGGAAGGTAGTCTCCCCACTGAATAGTTTTCATCTTGTCTAAATGGGTCTGGTGAAAAGACATGGGGATAAGATTCTTATGATTCAATAGTAATTGTTATCATGACTAATTGCAATGGTCACGATTGTAAAGGCATACGTTTTGTAACAAATAATGGGGGAGTAGTTAATCTGCTTGCTGAAAGTGAGAGGACTTGAAACATTTACTGATGAAGATCAAAGAGCACAGCCTTCGGTATGGGTTGCATCTCAATGTCAGAAAAACAAAAATCCTCACCACTGGACCAATACACAACATTCTTATCAACGGAGAAAAGATTGAAGTTGTCAAGGACTTCATTCTTCTTGGATCACCTATCAACACTTGTGGAAGCAGCAGTCAAGAGATTAGACGACATATTTCATTGGGCAAATCTGCTGCACAGGAACTTTTTAAAGTGTTGAAGAGCAAAGATGTCAGCTTGAGGACTAAGGTGCGCCTGACCCAAGCCATGGTATTTTCAGTAACCTCATATGGATGCAAAAGCTGGACAGTGAATAAGGAAGACCGTAGAAGAATTGATGCCTTAGAGTTGTGGTGTTGGAGGAGAATACTAAAAGTGCCGTGGACTGCCAAAAGAACCAATAGATCTATTTTGGAAGTGCAGCCAGAGTGCTCCTTGGAGGCCAGGATGGCTAAGCTTTGTCTCTCATACTTTGGACATATTGTCAGGACGGACCAGTCGCTGGAGAAGGATGTCATGCTAGGTAAGATGGAGGGTCAGAGAAAAAGAGGACGACCCCCAACGAGATGGATCAGCCAGGTGGCATCATTGATGGCGTCAAGTGTGGCAACAGTGGTGGGGTTGGCCCAGGATTGGACATTGTTTCGTTCTGCTGTGCATGGGGTCGCTATGAGTCGGTTCCAACTCGATGGCACCTGACAACAACAACAACAAAGTTAATCTTAACAGTCCAGAAACAAAGGACCCTAGGACCATCAAGGGAGAAGAGCACAAGAAGTAGAGACACCAGAGATGGAGGCAGCTGCTGAGGACTCTTAGATTCATGAAAAGAGAGGGACTGGGTGCTGGCAGCCAGGAGGCAGGCTTACAGAATGTGCCCTTTGGTTGTTTAAATTATTATATATTTGAGTGCTTTTGTGTACATCCCCCGAAAAAAAAAAAAAAAAAAAAAACACAAAACACAGAGGGAATAGGAGCAAATACTGTTGAATGATGATGCAGATGGGACTTTAATCATTGCAATAAAACGGTGAGTATAAAACTGATGTTTTCCCATGTAAAAACTACCACTCACTCCACAAAAAAACTTAAAAAAAAAAAATTGCCTATGGGATAAGAAGCTAAACAGTGCCCTCAGAGGGGTTTACAGCTTGACAGTCCTTTGCCCCATGTTAACAAATGTGGGCCAGACACTATCCAGACTCAGGGTAAATGGAAACTCCACCAAACTCAGTACCATGAGTGCAGTCTAACTCACAGAGACCCTATACAGGTTTTCCAAGACTAAATCTTTACACAGGTGACCTCATCTTTCTCCCATATAATGGCTGGTGGATTTGAACTTCTGACCTTGATATTAACAGCCCTACACCTAACCCAGAGAGTCCTGGCATGGCACTGCAGGATAATGCACTTGATTGTAAGGTCAGTTTGAACTGCAAGGTTAGTGGTTCAAACCCACCAGCCGCCCCTCAGAAACCCTATGCAGCATCACTATGGGTTGGAACCACTTGAGCACAACCACCACCACCACCTGACCCGCAGCACTACCAGATGAGCGAATGTGACCTCCCAATTTCTATTTTGCTTTCACAGTTTGATTTTTCAGCAGAAGAGATGCATTGGAGTGACATCACAAGGTTAATGGTACCTATTGCTGACACATAATAAAAACTGGGTTAATTCAAAAACTGTTTCTGTATGGTCCACATCATGTTCATAAGGATCAGCACTGGACTGCAAAACACAAGGTTAGCAATTCAAACCCACCAGCTGCTCCTGGGAAACGCTCTACAGGATCGCTTACAAGGTTTCAAGAGAGAACTTAGTTTAAGAGGGTTGGGGGAAAGAAAGAGTCCCCACTGAATAGCTGTCATCATGGCTAGATGGTTCTGGTGAAAGGAGATGGGGATAAGATTCTTAAGATTCAATAGTGAATAACTGTTATCATGACTAATCAGGACTATTATACTTGTAAAGGTAGAAGTTTTGTAACAAAAAAAGGGGAGTGGTTAATCTTACAGTCTAGAAACTGAGGACCCTAGGACCATCAAGAGAGAAGAGCACAAGCAGAGTGCGCGGGACCTTATCCAGAGAAGCAGCAGCACCAGAGATGGAGGCAGCAATGGGGGTATGGAGAGGGGGAGCGGCTGAGGACTCTAGATTCATCAACTAAGAAGAGAAGGACTAAGAACTGGTGGCCAGGAGGTAGACTTGCAGAATGAGCCCTTTGGAGATGTAAATTATTATATATGCCTGAGTGGGCTTTTTTGTTTGTGTGTTTTTTAAAAAGCTAAAGTGGATAGAGAGAAATACTTTTAACTGATGGTATATGGAGGGGATTATAATCAGTGTAATGAAACAAGTTAAATGAATGGTTGAATGTGAAACTGATGATGTGCCCTCTAAACTTTCACTCAATCCACAATAAAAACCTTAAATTAAAAAAAAAAAAATTCTTAGAAAAAAAATGGCAATGCTGCCAGACCTAGCTTTTAACATGGATTGTCTAATATGATAAAAGCACAAACAGAAAAATTTATAAATTTAAAATGGCTGGTAGATTTAAACTA